GTGGGGTATCTGAAGCTGGCTCATAACCCGAATTTTAGCTCGCAACTCAAAGCAAAAAATCGGCCGAGAGACGGCTCGTATCTTGAAAAACTCATTAGTCGGGACACTCGTAAGTCAAGGCCCCACTGTATAAGTGGAAACTTTATCATCTTATAATTTCTTAATTAATACCTCATTGACCTCATTGTCTTAATATGAAAATGACTATATAAGATAAATTAGAACTTTAAATCTTTAAAAACAAAAGACAAATAACCAAAGCTCTTTATAAAACTTCTTACACTTTGGTTGCCATCCATTTCCTTTTATTTTTTTAATATGTTTTATTGATTTTTGGAGAGAGAAATAGAAATATCAATGAGAGAGAAACATCATCGATTGACTGCCTCCTGCATGCCACCTACTGGGGATCGAACTGTGACTTCTTGTTTTATGGGTCGACACTCAACCACTGCTCCTTTTACTTTTTTTTTTTTTTAATTCCTTAGTGTTTAAAGTATTACATATGTCTCCTTTTCCCCCCATTGACCTCTCCCTGGCCGCTCCCATGCCCCAGAACATGCCCTCACCCCTGTACTGTCTGTGTCCATTGGTTATGCTTATATGCATGCATACAAGTCCTTTGGTTGATCTCTTACCCACCTTCCCTCCTTTTATTTATTAACTAGAGGCCTGGTGCACAAATTCATGCACGGGTAGGGTCTAGCTGTCCCACCCCGATGGGGGGCCCATCGGGTTGGGCCAGCCAGGGGGAGGGGCCATGGGCGGTTGGCCAGCTTGCCCTGCCCACAGTCGGGGTAGGGGGGCCAATCAGGGACCAGGCCAGCCAGGGGGAAGGGCTTTGGGAGGTTGCTGGGGGCTGATTGGGGCCCCAATTGGGTCGGTTGGCTGCCACAGTGCATGTCATAGTGACCGGTCATTCTGGTCGTTCCAGTCGTTCTGCCGTTCCAGTCGCTTGGCTTTTATATATATATAGACTAGAGGCCCAATGCACAAAGATTCGTGCAAGAATAGGCCTTCCTTCCCCTGGCTGCCGGCACCGCCTTCGCTCCAGCCTGGAGCTGCCTTTCCACCTTTGCTCTGGCCCGGAGCCACCTTTCCGCCTTCGCTTCAGCCCGGAGCCACCTTTCCACCTTCACTCAGGCCCAGAGACGCTTTCCTCCTTTGCACGCTGCCCAGAGGCCCAGAGCGGCCTTGGCGGGGCGGAACGCCTGCGTACCGTCCCAGCTGCCTTCATCTTTGTGACATCAATTTGAATATATCCCTCCTTATTGGCTGTGGGCGCCACCATCTTTGTCGTGAAGTGATGGTCAATTTGCATATTCCATCTTTATTAGATAGGATGACAGAGCAGACTAGTAAGATCCAGCTGTATTATCTCCTCTTCAGGGTGGTCCAAAGACCTTGAATAGGTGAGGATTAGTCTCTGTAAAGTTGAGTTGATAAGAAAGAGAGTATTAATAGTTTGAGAAATCTAAATCACATTTTTTTTACATATGATGTGTATGTGTATGCTTTTTGCTTGTTATGGATTAAACAAAAGAAAGGGATTTATTTTACT